GCAGGAGATAAGACATGCAGAATTTCCCAGATATATTTGACTATGGTATCAGTTAAGATTAAGTTCAACTAAGAGTGATAGAAAAAAATATAAAATATCAGTGTCTTAGTGTCTTAAACTAGATAAAAGTTTATTTCTTTCTTAAGTAAAATTCCAGACATAGATAGTCCAGAGCTGCTTCAGCTCTTTAGGGTGTCATGACTCAGGTTTCCATTGTTAAGACCACCTCATGGTCCCATATGGCTGCTCCAGCTCCAACTTATACACCCATATTTCATCTAGCAGGAAGGAGGAAATGAAAAAGAGAAGAGAAGCCCCTTTCCCTTCAAGGACACTTCCCTAGAGGTTACAAAGTGACGTTAGATTACATCCTATTGATCAGAACTTAATTCCATGACCACGTCTACCTAAAAAAGAGAACTAAAAATGTAGGCTTTATTCTATGCAGCCACATACGTGGTTAAAAATTATATTTGTACGGAAGAAGAGGAGGGGACCATGAATAGTCTCTGCCACAACCATGAAACTCTTTATTTCATGGAGCACTTCACAAAATAAAGGTGTGGAAAGGTCGGTGTAAGTTAATTACTTTTCTCAGTATTTTCTCAATTGCTAAGAATCAGTGTCCAAGGCAATCTACTGGAAGAGTCTGAGAACCAGGACTGGCAAACTGATTTACCAAGGAATTCTAGCAGGAACCAGAAGCGTGAAAAGGAGAATTAATGTTATTTCATTTGCATTTAGCGATTGCAATAATTCACTTGAAAGCAGAATGCTTCCTCAAACACTGGGAAGCCATCTCTTTGAAATGTAATCATCAAGAAAAACAGAACACTTATCTCCCAGTTTCTGTGGGAAAGTAGGAGCCTAACTTGAGTGGGCACCTTGCTCTAAATTACAAAGTGATCTCTTTTCATAAAGATAATAAGAACTTTGTTCTTCCTTTAGATAAAGCCAATTAGATAATGCAGAGGGTCACCTCAATTACCAGATACGTTTAAGACGAACTGTAAGACACAGATGTAGAGAATGGACTTGAGGACACGGGGAGGGGGAAGGGTAAGCTAGGACGAAGTGAGAGAGTGGCATTGGCATGTATATACACTACTGAATGTAAAATAGATAGCTAGTGGGAAGCAGCTGCATAGCACAGGGAGATCGGCTCGGTGCTTTGTGACCACCTAGAGGGGTGTGATAGGGAGGGTGGGAGGGAGATGCAAGAGGGAGGAGATATGAGGATATATGTACATGTATATGTATAGCTGATTCGCTTTGTTAAACAGCAGAAACTAACACAACATGTAAAGCAATTATGCTCTAATAAAGATGTAAAAAAATAAAAGATGAACTCTGTAATGAATGGTGCCGTCAAGTCCTCTTTTTTGAGGGCTAGTTACCGTTTACCTTGAGCACATGTATGGAATGGGTAGTTATCTGCCTGGCTATGTAAAAGGGTGAGATTTCTTTCTGTTTTTGCAGTCTCTCAGTGGATTGCCTGTGATGCACATCACATTCTGGATTAATGCTTATTCAGTAACAAAACTGTTTTCTTTCTCCTCTACTTTTGTGGAGAATTTTTCTTGGTTGGCAGGAGATTTTTTAAAGTTTATACTCTGCAACGTTTTCCTCAATCTCATTTGCATCACATCACTTAGTGTATTCTCTGACACAAGTAACAGACTGTTGTAATTTAACATTGAGCTGCCTAACTGGAGCTTTTTCTTGGTGTGGCTCAAGCAAAGATTCAATTAAAGGAAAAAGATTTTCTACAGAGAGATGTTAATTGACATTAGCTGCTTTCAAATTCTTGGGTGTTGAGTTCTGTGTTCACCATAGAGTCAGTGAGATTCTTTACACTGTTGTCTTGTGACTGCAAAACCCAGTTCCATTGCTCAAAACAGGCTGCAAACCACAAAGATAAGAAGCTCCCAAAGCCTTTACTTAGTGTATTAGTCACCTGGGGGGCTTAAAACAACAGAAATGTATTGCCTCACAGTTCTGGAGGCTAGAGGTCTGAAATCAAGGTGTTGGCAGGCCTGCACCCCCTCTGAAACCTGTAAGGCAATCCTTCCCTGCTTCTTCCTAACTTCTGGTGATTTGTCGGTGGTCTTTGAGGTTGCAGCTGCATAACCCAATCTCTGCCTTCATCATCACATGGTGTTCTCCCTCTGTCTTTGTGGCCATATTCTCATAAGGACACCAGTTACATTGGAGTAGGTCCCCACCCAATTCCAGTATGACTTCATCTTAAATAAGTATATCTGCAAGAATCCTATTTCCAAATAAGGTCACATTTTGAGGCTTGGACGGTTAGAGCTTTAACATATCTTACTTGAGGGGACAAAATTCAACCCATAACACTTAGTAAGAGTCACCATAACAAAGTTACCCTCCCTGGCCCTGCCAGATGCCTCAATCTTCATGTGTTAAGGTGCTCTCCAATATTTTACTCCTAGTTTATTTTTTAAACAATAAAGAGAAAAATTCTCCCTGTCCAAGTTCTGAAGTATAAAGGAGTTGGATGGCATTTGGAGGTAAAACTTAAAACTTTTGTTTAATTAGTAAGGGCTGGGCTGGAGGACACAGTTTCTGAATGCAGGTGAGCTTCCTAACACTGAAGCCCAGAATTCAATTCACCCATCCAGCAGCAGGGCAGCCAGATCACACATACATCACTCATGTAATCAAGATGTGCCCAGGTTTGACCTTGGCCCTGGTATTTTGCCGAAAGAGCCATACAGATGCCTACTTTCACAGCATTTCTCACATCCTGAAACTTGTGGGTGATCAGAGGTTGGGTGATATCATAATCATAGGGGACCATCATAGATGATCAGCTTAACAGTGACAGTAACACAAACAAGAGTTTTGAACAAGGGATGTCATTTGGATTTATCAATGATCTGAATAACTATCTGGATAGTCCCTTTCAAATTATGGGCAAGTAATGAAGATTGAACTTGTGTTAAAATTCTTATTATCAAATTCTGGGAAGATGACAACGGTGGGAATGGCAAGCTTTTGGATCTTCCCAAATCCCAGTATAGAGAAAACAGCGAAATTAAAACAAAAAACAAACCAGTGTACAACATTTACAACAAAACTAGGTGACAAGGTACTCCATGAACCCCAAAGTGCGAACCAGCAAGAGTCACAAGATCAGCACATAATCAGCAACTGTTCAGGAGAAAGCAGAGGGAAGCCAGGAGACGACTGACAACCTGATAATAGGAGACACCAAGATGGCTACCAGATCCTCAGGAGGAGGTGGGACAGTGAGAGCAGCAGCAGGGATGAGAGGGGTTTGCCCCTGGCTTAGCAGGAGAGGCAAAAGGCCTGCAGGAAGCCGGGCTGACGGGCTTAGCAGCACGCCCTCCTCACCTTCCATAGGGCCCTACACCCAGGCAAGATGGTCAGAGATGAATCAAAATTGAGCAGAAAGGAACAAAAGAGATGAAGGAAAGAGAAGGCCCAGATAAAAGTGGGGCAGATGAATAGAGGAAGAAAAACTCAGAAAAATCATTTTAAAATTAAAAATATATATACTCAACACCACACAGAAACAACAGGAGTTGTTAGAACAAAATATCCTTCTGATAGTCAGGAAAACTTAATTCATATAGAAATGAGTAACAGAAAACGTCAAGGCCAAATCCCGTACAAAGACGCTATGTGTCTTCAATAAAAAGTCCTATCTGAGAATTTTTCACATCTTGTGAGGATGAATTAAATTATCATTTTGCCACCTTAAGCTTTCACGAGAAGGAAAAAGTCCAAAGTCTGGATAAATTACTTTCTATTTTGACATAATAAAGAATGTGAAGAGAAAGGGAATGGAATACATTGTTAGAAAAAATATTTAAAACACATTTTAATTTCACTAATCAACTTTTAATTTGTGACTACTAAAATTATTATAATAATTCTATTTTTTAAATTATTTTTCAGATTTATTATTGATTTCTAGTTCTTTCTCTTATGACAATACTTGGTTTTGACCTTGATTTCAGCCAAGTATTGACATTAACTTCTGGTCCTCTAGCATTTGGAAAAAGTATCCATCAGTGCATATCCACCCTGTACAATTTATGGTCTGGATGGCAGAAAGAGAACATGGATTCTCAGTGGGCTGCTTCCTCCCAAAAGGAGAATGAGAGGAAGGAGTTGGGCTATGCACCCTCAACATCTTTTTCTAGATTCTTCAATCAGATTAAGGATTTATCAATTATCTATAATAAAAACCACTTGAAAACTCTAATTTGAAAAGATACATGCACTCCAATATTCATAGCAGCACTATTTACAATAGCCAAGACATAGAAACAACCCAAGTGCCCAACGACAGACATGTTTAAGAAGAAGGGGTGTGTGTGTGCGTGTGTGTGTGTGTGTGTATGTGTGTGTGTGTATATATAATTATATACATAATATTCCATTATATATAATATATATTATATTATATATAATGGAATATTATATATATATATAAATGGAATATTACTCAGCCACAAAAACGTTTGAAATATTGCCATCTGCAGCAACCTAGAGAATATCACACTAAGTGAAGCAAATCAGACAGAGAAAAACAAATATTATGTAATATCACTTAAATGTGGAATCTAAAAAATAACACAGATGAATCTATATACAAAACAGAAACAGACTCACAGACATAGGAAATAAACTATGTTACCAAAAGGAGAAGGGAGCAGGGGGAGGGATGAATTAGGAGTGTGTAATTATCTGTTAACTCCTGTACATAAAATGGATAAGCAACAAGCATTTACTATATAACACAGGGAACTATATTCAATATCTTATAATAATCTATAATGGAAAATAATATGAAATATATATATATAACTGAATCACTTTGCTGTACAACTGAAACTAACACAATATTGTAAATCAGCTACACTTCAACTTAAAGAAATAAATTAAAAAAAACCCTTAGTAACTTAAAACAACAACAATTTTAAATGTTCATAATACCATGAGTTGTTGTTGCTTCAGCATCACATATACTAAAATTTAAACAATACAGAGGTTAGCATGGCCCTGAGCAAAGATGACATGCAAATTCACAAAGTATTTCATATTTTTAAGGGGTCAATTTTTCAAGAAGATATAATAATTGTAAATACATATACACCCAACATAGAGCACCTAAATATATTCAGCAAATAGTAATAGATCTGGAAAGAGAAATAGACAGCAATACAATAACAGTAGGGGACTTGAATACCCCACTTTCAGCAATGGATAGATCATCCAGACAGAAAATCAACAAGGAAATATTGGATTTGAACCCTACATTAAATGGATCTAACAGACATTTATAGAGCATTCCATGCATCAGCGGCAGAACACTCATTCTTCTCAAGTGCACACAGAATATTCTCCAGGATAGACCATATGATAGGCCACAAAGCAAATCTTAGTAAATTTTAAAAGACTGAAATAATACCAAGTATATTTTCCAACCACAATGGTATAACTTGAAATCAACAATAAGAGGAAAGTTGGAAAATTTACAAGCATGTGGAAACTAAACAACATACTCCTGAACAATGAGTGGGTCGAAGAACAAACATAAAGGGGAAACCAAAAAATATCTCAAAACAAATGAAAATGGAAACATAGCACACCAAAACATTTGGGATGCTGCAAAAGCAGCTCTGAAAGGCAAGTTTACAGCAATAAATGCATATATTAAGAAAATAGAAAAATCTCAAATAAGCAACCTGACTTTACACCTCAAAGAATTAAAGAAAAAAGAATGAAGACCAAAGTTAGCAGAAGGAAGGAAATAACAAAGATCAGAGCAGAAATAAATGAAACATAGACCAGAAAAACAATAGAAGAGATCAATGAAACTAAGAGCTGGTTTTTCAAAAAGATAAACTTTTAGCTAGACTAAGAAAAAAGAGAAAAGACTCAAATACAATCAGAAACTAGAGAGGAGACATTACAAATGATATTACAGAAATACATAGTATTGTAAGAGATTACCATAAGCAATTATAGACCAACAAATTGGATAAGCTAGAAGAAATGGATAAATTCTTAGAAGCATACAGCCTACCAAAACTGAATATGGAATACACTCACAGACATAGAAAACAGACCTGTGGTTGTCAAGGGGGAGGGGGGTGGGGGAGGAATGTATTGGGAGTTTGGGATTAGCAGAGGTAAAGTATTATATATTAGAATGGATAAACAACAAGGTCTTACTTGTATAGCAAAGGGAGCTATATTTAATATCCTGTAATAAACCATTATGGAAAAGAAAAAAAAAAGACTGAATCTGGAAGAAATAAAAAATCTTAACAGACCAATAATGAGTGAGATTGAATCAGTAATCAAAAACCTTTGAACACATAAAAGCCAGATGACTTCACTGGTGAATTCTACCAAATATTTAAAGAAGAATTAACACCAATTATTCTCAAATTCTCCCAAAAAATTGAAGAGAAGGGGACATTTTCAACTTTCTTTATTTCATGAAGCCAGCATTACCCTGATACCAAAGCCAGATAAGGACACTACAAGAAAAGGAAACTATAGAACAATATCCCTGATAAATGCAAGAATTCTCAACAAAATATTAGCAAACTGAATCCAACAACACGTTAAAAGGATCATACACCATAACCAAATGGGATTTATCCCCGGGATGCAAGAATGGGTCAACATAATGCAAATCAATAAATGTTATATACCACATTAATAGCATGAAAGACAAAAATCATATGATCATCTCAATAGACACAGAAAATGCACTTGACAAAATACAATACCCTTTCATGAGAGAAACCATCAACAAATTGGGTGTAGAAGGAACATACCTCCACATAATGAAGGCCATACTGACAACCCACAGCTAACATCATACTCAATGGTGAAGGACTGAAAGCTTTTCCTCTAAGATCAGATACAAGATCAGGGTGCCCACTCTCACCGCTCCGATTTAAAATAGTACTGGAAGTCCTAGCTAGAGTAATTAGGCAAGGTATAGAAATAAAAGGTATCCAACTGGGGAAGGAAGAAATAAAATTGTCATTATTTGCAAATGATATGGTCTTATGTAGAAAATTCTAAAGACTCAACCAAAAAAACTGCTGTAACTAATCAATGAATTCAGTAAAGTTGCAGGATAAAAATCGACATATATGCTCAATATTCTGTAATAACAAAGAATTTGAAAAAGCATAGATATATGTATAACTGAATCACTTTGCTGTACACCTGAAACTAACACAACATTGTTAATCAACTGTGCTCCAATATAAAATAAAAAACATCAACATACAGAAATCAGTTGTGGGCTTCCCTGGTGGCGCAGTGGTTGAGAGTCCGCCTGCCGATGCAGGGGGCACGGGTTTGTGCCCTGGTCCGGGAAGATCTCACATGCTGTGGAGTGGCTGGGCCCGTGAGCCATGGCCGCTGGGCCTGCGCGTCCAGAGCCTGTGCTCCACAACGGGAGAGGCCACAACAGTGAGAGGCCTGCGTATCGAAAAATAAAAGGAATCAGTTGTGTTTCCATACACTAACAATGAAATAACTGAAAAAGAAGTAAAACTATCCCAGCCACCACAGTATCAAAAACAATAAAATAATTAGGAATAAGTTTAAGCAAGGAAGTGAAAGATCTGTACAATGAAAACTACAAGACTTTGATGAAAGAAATTGAAGAAGACACAAATGGAAAGCTATTTCATGTTCATGGATAAAATTAATATTGTTAAAGTATCCATGCTATTCTAAGCCATCTATGGATTCAATGCAATACCTATCAAAAATCCAGTAACATTTTTCACAGCAATAGCAAAAACAATTCTAAAATTTGTATGGAACCACAATAGACCCTGAATAGTCAAAGCAATCCTGACAAAAAGGAAAGGATATTTTCTTCAGTAAATGGTGTTGGGAAACATGGATAACCACAGGCAGAAGAATGAAATTGGACCCTTATATCACTCACAAAAATTAACTTGAAATGAATTAAAGCCTTAAACATAAGGCCTCATACCATAAAAGTCCTGGAAAAAAACATAGAGAAGAAACTCTTTGACATTGGTCTTGGCAATGATTTTTTGGATGTGATATGACACCAAAAGCTCAAGCAACAAAAGAAAAAAAATCGACAAGTGGAACTATGTCAAACTAAAAATCTTTTGCACAGAGAAAGAAACAATCAACAAAATGAAAAGGCAAACTATGGAATGGGAAAAAAATATTTGCAAACCACGTATTGGATAAGGGGTTAATATCGACAATATATAAAGAACTCATAGAACTTAATACTAACAACAAATAAACTGATTAAAGATGGGCAGAGGAACTGAATAGACATTTTTCCAAAGAAGATATCCAAATAGGCAACAGGTACATGAAAAGATGCTCAACGTCCCTAATCTTTAGGGAAATGCAAATCAAAGCCACAATAAGATATCACCTCACACCTGTTAGGATGGCTGTCATCAAAAAGACAAGAGATAACAAGTGTTTGCAAGGATGTGGAGAAAGGGAACACTTGTGCATTGCTGGTGGGAATGTAAATTGGTTGAGCTGCTATGGAAAACAGTGTGGAGGTTCCTCAAAAATTTAGAAATACAACTAACGTGTGATCCAGGAATCTCAGTTCTGGATATATACTCGAAGGAAATGAAAACAGGATGTTGAAAAGACATGTGCACTTCCATGTTTATTGTAGCATTATTCACAATAGCCAAGATATGGAAACAACCTAAGTGTCAATGGATGAATGGCTAAATAAGTTCTATATATATATATAAAATATATTTTTATATATATAGAAAATATTCCCTTACATATATATATATATATGGTTATAGAAGTTGTTTTATATATATATATATATATATATAAATATCCCAACGGAATATTACTCAGCCACGAGAAAGAAGAAAATCCTGCCATTTACCACAACATGGATGGACTTTTGAGGGCATTACGCTAAGTGAGATAAGCTAGACAGAGAAAGACAAATATTGCATGATATCACTTACAATGGAATCTAAAAAAGAAGAATTTGTAGACACAGAATAGAATGGTGGTTACCAGGGACTGGGGGAGGTGGGTGAACTGGGGAGATGTGTTAAAGGGTACAAACTTGCAACTAGCAGATGAATAAGTTGTGGAGAGCTAATGCACAGCATAATGACTACAGTCAACTGTACTGTATAATACACTTCATTGCTAAGAGACTCCATCCTAAGTGTCCTCACCACAGAAAGTGAAATGATAATTATGTGCCATGATAAAGGTGTTAGCTTAAGCTATGGTGCTAATCATATTGCAATATATAAATGAATCAAATCAACACATTGTACACCTTAAGCTTACACAATGTTATATGGAAATTATATCTCAATAAAAAAATACTGTGGGTCATCAATTTGCACTGGACCCAGTGCGAGGTCTTCCTGCTGGTTTTGTCTGGGTCACACACATAGCTGCAGTCATCTGCAGGTGAGCTCTCTTATACAGCTGGTGGCTGGTTTCAGCTGTTGGTTGGGCCTTTCTGTCATGTGTTCTCTCATTGTTGAGAAGCCTAGTCCGGGTTACGCAACAGCCGCATTCATGGGGACCAGTGCAGAAGCTGCAAGGCCACTGGAGGCAAAGAAGTTCAGAAGCCACAACCCACCACTTGCACCGTATTCTGTAGATGAAAGGAAATCATAAATGCAGGCCAGATTGAAGGGGTGGGAAATTAATCCTGCCTCTTGGTGGGAGAAGTGGCTAAGTCACATTATAAAGGGCCTGAGGAGGGAGGAATTATCGTGACCACTTTTGCAAACAATCTTCCCCAAAGTCCAGCTCCTCTCCTGGGACAGATGAGTAAAGGGATGAGAGGCCAGCAGTGCCAATGGGAATGGAGCCTCTGAAAATGGAAGGAAATAGCAGGAGTGAGGGAGAAGTGTCTGTTCTTCCCACTCAGCCCACAAAACTTTAATACTTTATTTATTTTTGGCTGCTTTGGGTCTTCGTTGCTGTGTGTGCAGGCTTTCTCTAGTTGTGGAGAGTGGGGGCTACTCTTTGTTGTGGAGCACGGGCTCTAGGCACACGGGCTTCAGTAG